AAAGGAAAGAAAAGGCTCAGATCCATGCAATTAGTAACAATAAAGGTGAAGTCACAACAGATCCAGGAGAAATCCAGAGGATCATCATTATCTACTTCTACAAACTGAATTTTAATAAAATAGAAAATACAGAAGAAATGGAAAGATTTCTAGATGCATATGAATTTTCAAAGTTGACTGAATAACACCCCGATTACAATCAGTGAAATTGAAAATGTAATTAAAATTTTACCAACAAAGAAAAGCCAGAATTTACTGCTGAATTCTAAAAAACATTTAGAGAAGAACTTCTGCCACTACATTTGAAACTTTTCAGTGAAATTGAAAGCCAAGTGATACTTCCAAATTCATTCCTAGAAGCAAGTGTTACTTTAATTCCAAAACCAGGGAAAGACCCAACCTAAAATGAGAACTACAGGCCAATCTCCCCAATGAATATAGATGCAAAAATCCTCAATAAGACACTAGCAAACAGAATGCAGGGTTATCAGGAAGATCATGCATCCTGACCAAGTTGGATTTATCCCAGGGATGCAAGGATGGTTCAACATACACAAATCAATAAATGTAATGCACTATATTTTAACTGTGTCAAAGACAAGAAACATATGATCACTTCAATAGATGCAGAAAAAGCATTCAACAAAATTCAACATTCATTTATGATAAAAACCTTGCAGAAAATTGGAATAGATGGTATTTATCCAAACTTGATAAAGGCTATCTATAAAAAAGCTGACAGCCAATATCATATTAAATGGTCAAAAACTGAGAACCTTCACACTAAAATCAGGAATAAGACAAGGATGTCCACTATCACCACTCCTGTTCAATATAGTTTTGGAAACATTAGCCACATCTATTAGACAAGAGGAAGTAATAAAAACAATAAAGATAGAAAAGGAAGAAGTTAAACTGTCATTATTTGCTGATGATATGATACTTTACGTGGAAGATCCAAAATACTTCGCCAAAGACTTCTGGACTTAATTGATAGATTCAGTAGAGTAGATGGATATAAGGTCAACACTAAAAAAATCAATAGCCTTCTCGTACACAAATAACAGAATCACTGAGAGAGAAATTAGAGAAACAGTTCCTTTCACAATAACATACAAAAAATGAAATATCTAGGAATCAATCTAATGAAGGAAGCAAAAGACCTCTAACAACACTCTGAGAAGAGACATTGAAGAGCATATAAGAAATTGCAAAGACATCCCTTGTTTTTGGGTAGGAAGAACCAATATACTGAAAGTGGCCATACTTCCTAAACAGTGATACAGATTTAATGTATTCGTGATTGAAATCTCAACAGTGTATGTTAGTGAACTAGAGAAAGCAATCCAAAAATCCATTTGGAACCAGAAGAGACCTAGAATAGCAAAAGCAATTCTAGGCAACAGAGATATGGCAGTGGATATCGCAATCCCCAACTTGAAACTATACTACAAAGCCACTGCAATAAAAACAGATTGATACTGGCAAAGAAACAGACCACAGATTAGTGGAATAGATTAGAAGACACAGAAAAAAACTTCAGACATACTCAGCTATCTCATCTTTGACAAAGAAGACAGCCATCCCCACTGGAGGAAGGATAGCCTCTTTAATAAATGGTGCTGGAAAAAGCTGATTTCAACTTGCTGAAGATTAAAACTAGGTCCCTATCTTTCACCATGCAATAAACTAAAATTGAAGTGGATTAAAGATCTAAATACTAAAACAGATACACAGAATTTGTTGGAAGATAAGCTAGGTAGAATTCTTGAAGACATTGGCATAGGAAATCACTCTATGAACAAATCCTCAGTAGCACAGGAACTAGCACAAAGAATCAACAACTGGGATCTCATCTTTTTAAAAGCTTCTGCATGCAAGAGAAACCACCAACAGAGCTAAGAGAAAGCCTACAATGTGGGAAAAATTTTTTACCAGCTGTTCCTCAGACAAAGGTCTATTATCCAGAATGTATAAAGAACTCAAAAAAAAATCAGAACCCTCAAATTTATAAACCCAATTAAAAAAATGGGCATCTGAAATAAACAGACATTTCTCAAACAAAGAAGTAAAAGCAGCAAATAAACATAAGAAAAAATGTTAAACATCACTGGTCATTCGAGAGCTGCAGATGAAAACAACACTGAGATTCCACCTCACCCCACAAAGAATGGCTGTTACCAAGAAATCAACCAGTAACAAATGTTGGCAGGGGTAGGGGAGAAAGGAACCCTTCTTCATTGTTGGTGGGAGTGCAGACTTGTTCAACCACTGTGGAAATCAATATGAAGATACCTCAAAGAAGTAGAATTAGAAGTCACTTTTGACCCACCTATTCCCCTGCTGTGTATCTTCCCAAAAGAATTAAAAGAATCATACACAGCAATATATGCTCACCGATGTTTATAGCGGCACAGTTTGTAATAGCTAAAACTTGGAAACAGCCCAATTGCCCATCAACTGGAGTTTGGATAAAGAAGATGTGGGGTTTTTTTTTATATATATAATGGAGTACTACTCAGCCATAAAGAATGAGAAACTACAGACATTTATAGCTAAGTGGATGCACATTTAGGACATACTCATAAGTGAAATTAATAGGACATGCATGTGTAAATACTAAAACATTTCTCTGGTGTGATAAACTAAAAGTGTAAGAATCAAAATTTATAATTGACATTGTGTAATAGGACAAAATGTCTAAAGGTGTAGGGGAAATAGGGGTAGCAGAAAGCTAAGAAGGGAAAGAAAAAATAAAAGAAAAGAAAAAAATGGAAACAATATTTCTGTAAATAGGGAAGGGTGGAGGGGGTGAATGGAGGGCAGGGGAATGGGGAAAAAATAAGAATCAAGATATTTCATGTAAAGCACAAGATCCCAATTATAAATGTAACTGTATCATATACCTAAAATGTACCAATAAAGAAAAAAGAAAACAAAGAACACAGTTTAAAATATTAGCTAACAAATATTTCCGAGACAGTCATATAACTGAACCACAGAGACTTCTTTCCAAGCAGCCATCATTTCATTTCTGATTTGACCTTGTTACTTTATTATTGGTCTCACTTGTTTATACTCTTGTGCCCACGCGTGTATTCTCACAGTAGTCAGAGAAACCTTTTCCAAATACGAAACTCTCCGAGGGTCTCTGATCACACTTAGAATGAAGCTCAGTGTTCTGACTGTGCCTTGTGAGTCCTTAGATGATCCGTGCTCTAGCTGCCTAGATCTAGGGATCCTACCTTGCTTATTCCTCGCACACATACTGATTTTTGGGCTATTATTCTCATGTATTATGATCATTACTGCCTCTGGGTATTTGTCTTTGTTTCCTTTGCCTAGAATACTTTTCCTCCTGATATTTAAGTGAATTGTTCCATTATTTTAATTAGGTTTTAAAATTTGACTATCCTGACTTACCCTGACACCTCTAACCTTGCTTTATTTTTCTCCATAGTCTTGTTACTTTTTGGTACCGGATTGTGTACTTATCTTAATGGCATGTAACTTCCATGAACTCAGACTGAATTGGTCAGGAGCTACTGTATATATGCAGTGAACAGAGATAAATATTTGATATATCCTATATTTAGTTATGTGGGAAGCCGAGTGAGAAGACACAGAAGATAAAATCTCTAAAAAAGGAAAAATTGGCCATACAATCTCAGGTGAATGGTACTCTATGAAGAAAGAAAAAGTGTAAAGAATTTAGCCTTGGTCTACACAGTAGTCATAAAAAGGAGTTTAACCAAAAGAAAGCCTGTATAGTTTCTTGATAGTTTATACATTTTCCACCTAGTGGAAGTCAGTGGTAGAGAACTCTACACTCTTGGGAGATTTCCTTTAAGTCTTTGATCATTTCTTAGATCAAAGGTTTGAGAAATAATTATAGTTTCTTATTCAAACTATATTCATTATTAACAAAATTAAATAGTGAAAAACTTCATCTGACAAAGTTTTAGGAAATGCACAGTATAGGTGAATCCCAGCAAAGTCCCAAATATTAACTGCACCATACAGGCTACAGTTTAAATCTCTAGAAAGTTTTGTACATCTCAATCTTAGCCAACTGCGTCTTTTGCAAGACATATACTAGTATTATGGGGAATGTGCACTGGTCACAAATCAATTTTCAAAGAGTAGGTGCAGTTAAAATATGGATTCCTTGAGAGATATAATGCTCTATGCTATAAAAAACTGTCCAGGCAATCACTGGGTTCACCTTGCTTTGGAGAGGATGCCAGTAGTTAATTAATCACTGCAAACTTGAGAAGGAAAAACACACTAGATTTGTGGGTTGTGTGCTAGATTAATGAATTATAATCTAGTGTCTGGTAGGCTAGGGGTAATGGATTATGGAATACAATTATATAGCTTATATAGCTCAAGGGACTTTTCTTATAACCAATTTAATTAACTTGTTTAATGGTCAATTCCACCACAAGTCAATACAAAATTCAAACAGTCATTTCAACACATTTATTTCACCTTACTCCTCTTGAAATCATTAGCCAAGAATGCATTACAAAGATTGTCTATAAAGGCATCCTAGCTTTTGCATTAGCATACTGGACTGGTATTTGGATAACTGTAACTAGTCAACGGGACTAATCTTTCAGATTTTCCTGTGAAATAAGTACTTGAATATTCCTTAAGAAAATCTCATCCCTTATTAATTATGAGTATTTATACCTGAATTTCTAGGTGCTTCAAGCGATTAGTAAGTAGTTTAGAGTTTAGGCAACAGTTACCTGATGAGGCAATCTATTCCTTGGGTCCATAAGATCAACATTTGGTTTTATATGAATATATAAATTCTGGCTGGATCTAATTTAAGAATTTAGCAGACTAAATTATATTTTATCATCTGTCTAAGCAGCTAAAAACAGAAAGTTAAGATGTAGTTCCAATCTTGACAATTTCAACTATTTGTGTGGAAAAGACATGTTTCCTATTCAGAGGACATATGGCTGAATATTAAAATCTTAGTGTCTTACCTCTCGAATTGCTGTACAAAACTCACTCTGAAGCACTTTTTTGAGGGATTGTAGCTTGTGTACTGGTACTTCTCCAGACTCCTGTAGTTTTTCCAGTAATTCAATTGCTCTTGCAACATCTAAATGAAAAAAGAAAATGGAGAGATATATAATAAACTATATCTCAGCATAGTAATAGTCTTCCAATTGAATGATAACATTATTACAATTGAAAAGCAGGCAGAATTACCTGCAAAATCAGATTTTATAAATCAGACCTTAATGATTTCATCTTTTAGTAATAGTCACTTTAACCTGTTGCATATAATTTGTTACTAAATACATCTTTTTGATGGTATTTCATGTTTTTTTTCTTACAGATCAATTTGAGTAAGGAAAAAAGAGAAAGACACGTATCTGTTATTTATTCTCATATCCCTGTAAACAAAGTAGTTCTATCAGTTTCACCTCTAAGATGCTTTTAATTTTTCGCATATGACATTTACCACACCAAAATCTCATATTTATTAGTATGATGATTCAAGTACACATCTCGTTCACCTGTATATAAATTCCTTGAACATAGGAACTTGTCTGATTTGTTTGCCCTTGCATCCCACAGTCTGGTACAACGCAATGAATTAATATTTGATGAAGAAATGAGCTAATGGACTCTTCATTTCATCACCACTGCATTATTCCAGGTCCTCATCATCTCTCCTCTAACTGGAATAATTTCTTCCTTCCCAGCCTCTTCATATAGTCCACAGAGTGATCTTCCTAAAAACAAAAATCCAATCATTTATCCACCTATTACCTTCTCACGCAGTACCAGTCAAGAGTTTTCAATGTCAGCATCAGAGGTTAATATATCAAAGTACAGTCTTTTGTGGCTATGAAATTGTTAAATCCCTGGATTGTTTCACATCACCCAGGTAAAATGTCACAAAAAAGCCATTTTAACATACTTATAAATATCTCTTCTACCCTATTTTGCAGTCAACAGTTCACTGAAAAGTCACTGAGGCATTTAACTAGTAGGATATGGTTAATTTAGGTCACTAGCTCCAGAGAGTGCCACATATTCCTGAAGTCAGATTATAAATTGATCCCATCTATCCATCCATCCATCCATCCGAGTTCCCATTATAATTGGCAATAAATTTAGCAAGAATAATACACTTCCTTCCTGAATTCACAGACCTCATAATATAATGAGAGAGGAATATAATAGCATATTCACCTACAACGAAATTGTTATCACTTCAGAATTTAAGTGGGGTTAGTACAGGTGTAGGTATTAAATTGAAGAAAAAAGCCACAAAGTGAGTATAGAGACTCTCCTTGAAGCAGTTATTTTGATTGCCAGTTGTAGCCTAACATAACACAAATCATGAAATCAATATGACACTATCAGCTTCTGAAGTTTTTCTTTTAGTACATAAACTGGAACATAACACAGTCAATTGGAGAACACTGGGTAATCTATAATCAATAAGATACCAAGGTGAGATTTTATGCATTTCCAACTGCATAAAATACTGTGCCCATACACCCAGTGAGTGCCCAGAACTCTCAACATGTTTAAAATTGAACTCATTATTTCTTTCCCTGAAAAATCATTTCCTCTCCCTAAATTCTATATTTCTATTAATATTATCCCAACCATCCTGTCTACTAAGCTAGCCCATGTCATCATCACTCACCCCCACATGCAATTACTCAGCAATTACTACTGACAGAGTCTAACTAAAAATTGCTTTTGGAATGGAGTTCCTTCACTTCATTATTTCAGGGAAGCCTTCGTCATTTCTCACCTGTAGTACAGGAACAGCTCCTACCTAAATTCTTTTAAACTAGTTTTTCTTTTTCAGTCCATCCGCCAAACTGCTTCTAGAGTAATTAATTGTCCTGGATGATAAGCCCACGCCTCTGTGGCTCAACATGTATTTGCCTTTGTTCTTGGAATGCAATTCATTAATTCACTGATTCACTCAGTAGTGCTGGACCTTGTACTTTGACAGAAGACCCTGTGACAAAGGTCGCTCTTTTTCTTGCTTTCCTAGAATGTACAGGCATGAGTATCACAGGTGAACAAGAAAGTTGTATGCCCTATAAACACAGCACTATGGGCTGGACCTGGATGCATAACAAAAACGTTCTATCATCATAGGGCACCTCTTTGTGAAAGTAACAGCTAAGCAGAGTCCTAGACAGGGGGAAGAAATCAGGAAAGTGGGTGTTTCAGGCATATGGGATAAGTGACAGTTCAAGGCTTCAGAGAGTGTGGGATGTTCAAAAATTGGAGAGGAATTCAGTATGGCTAAAGCTAAAATCAGGGAGATAGCAGTTAAGAGATGAAGAGATAAAAATAACATCATGGAGGTATTTTAGGTGGGGCACGGTTGATTTAGTTTAAGTAGCATCTCTTCAAGCACATTTTAATTGGCTTTTCAGAGCATACTTAGATGTTTTCATGTCTGTTTTTCTGCGACTCTTTATTCACTCATCCTCTGTAGGAATTGCTACTCTCTGTGCTACCTCTGAATGTCTCTCTCCTTCCTTCATCCTTGCAAATCTACAAGCTTCTTGAAGTGTCAGGAACAATATCTTTTGTGTCACTGTATTAACAGTTGATTATAGAGTAGCTGGCACATAGTAAGTGTTTAATGCACATTTGTTGAATGAATGATATTTAATTAATGAGATTAGTTCAGGAATGTGGGTGCTAGAGCTCTATGCCTACATGGATCCATGATTTCTCATGAATGTAGACCTCTAGATCACCGTTGTTTGGTCTGGTTTGGGGCAAGGAGTTCATAAGCTGAAGGGTATTAATGACAAAGGGGTACATTTGGGGAAAATTGACACCAACCTGAACATTAAGTAGTTCTCAACATACGCTGTACAATGAAACTGCCTTGGATGCCTTTAAAAATATATATCAGCTCCTGAGACCCTCCCCCCAAAGATACCCATGCCATTAAGATATATGAAAGATAGGCCTATTCTGTTCATTAGGTCTTTCCCAGGCTTATAAGAGGCATCAGGGAGATGAGAGAAAATTTGTGAAAAAGTGCTATTCTTTTGACACAGAGTACACACTGGCTACTCTGCTACTCTTCCAGAAGCTACATGAGGTTTTGGACAAAAACAGTTGCAGTGAAGACAAAGGGACAGGAGCAAGTCTTTTCCATTTGCCTGCATAGTAGACTGATGATCTGCCTACCCTCTCTGTCAATCTGAACAGAGGGAGAGAACTGGAAAGCAATGGCTACTGCAACCGGAATTGTTTTGCTGGTTAACCACCCCGCTCCCCTCCCCAGGAGATGAGGGACACAGAGGGAATGATAGGGGACAGTGGAAGTCTCAGAACCAAAGTCTGAAGAGATTAGTCCTCCCAGTCCAGGCCTGGCTGGTGCTGGAAGTATAAAGGTGGTACGTGATAATTGGACATGAGACTGGAGTTTTAAACGCAATTTGGATTCCCTGTAGTGCTGGGATAAAACCTGCAAGGCCAGGATTTGGAAGGAAGCAAAAAGAAGCCTTCAAGTCAGCAAAATACTTATTTTTACAACTACTGCAACAATGTGTGCATGGTTTCTGTATGAGTTCCCTAAGGTTCTTGTCCAGAATCTCCTTATGGTTATTTTAGGAAATGATGCTACAAGTTTGGTTACTAACAAAGATATTTAGGTGTAGTAGTGTGGCTCAGATTAAGACTAGGGAGACTGCCAGACAAGTAAGACAAAAAGCAAGAAGATCACAAAATTTTCTCCTGGAAATGTTTTCATTTAATTTTCTAATTCTCAGATTATCTTCATCTTATCATGTAATTAAAATACTTGGATATTATAAGTCTCCCCAATCCCCTTCACATCCTTGATTCAATTCACTCCTACTCTTCAAAAACAACAATAAAGGTAACTTTTATTTAACGTCTCAAAAGTGAGGGTATCTTAGTGTATTTTCTGCTGCTATATTGGACAATCACAAAATGGCTAATTAAAATAGAAAACAAATTTATTTTGCATAGTTCTTTAGACTGAGGGGCTGCATGTGGTGAGAGCCTTATTGCTCCATTATAATATGAGGGAGGGTACTGTGTGGCAAAAGAGCAAGACAGAGCTGGCTGTTATATCAAAGCTACTCTCAAGAAAACTAACCCACTCCTTCACTAATGGCAAATGTTGACAGTGTATTCATCAGGGTAGAGCTCTCATGACCAAATCTCTTCTGAAAGGTCCTCCTTTTCCATATGGTCTGTTGCAATGATAATTACATTTCCATATGAATTTTGGAGGGGATTTCAAACCATAGCACTTGCTCTAACCTCCCCCAAATCATGTCTTTCTTACCCACGAAATATATTCATTCTATCCCAATAGTTTCAAAAGTCTTAAAATATTCCGTCATGAACTCAAAGGTTCAAAGTTCAGAATCTCATCTACATCAAATGTTGAGACTCGAAGCATAATCCACCCTGAAGTAAATTTACTCTCCCTGTAAGCTTAGCAAACCAAAACAACATCTATTTGCAAAATACTATGGTGGGACAGGATAGACATTCCTACTTCAAAAGGGAGAAACAGGCAAGAAAATGGGACTAACTTGTCCCAAGAAAGTGCAAAACATAATAGGGGAGACAGTCTTACAGCTGGAGAATAACCTCTTTTGACTTCATATCTCACAAACTGGGGACACTAGTGCAGGAACTGGAGTCTTACTCCTGCCGCTCTCCCAAGCTGATGCTTCCAGTGGGTAGCTCTACAATTCTAGGATCTTTGAGACAAGGCCATTATCCCAGCTTTGCTAGTCCGGGCTCTCCGAGGTGGTCCTTCTTCTGTGACTTCCTTTGAAATCTAACTGGAGAAAGTTGTGCTCTTGAGATTTTACGTTTTGCATGTCTGTGGACTTAACATCATGCTGTTACTAGCAACGTCTACCACTTGCATTTTTCAGAGTAGCAGGGCTAAACTGCGTGGGACCCACAGCTAGAGCTGTGCCTAGGTTAGTTGAGGAGCACCGAGCAGGAGAGACTGGAGCAGCCCTTCTCTATCTACTAAGCCCCTTTTGCCTTCCTGGGAAGGGAGGGGCAGCCTTCTGCAATGAGCGGGATAGGTTTGAAAATGCCTCTTGGACTTTCTTCCATTGTCTTGATGAATAGTGCTTAGCTCCCTTTTACCCATATTAATCTCTTGAACAAAGAGTTGCTTGGACACAGACTTTATATTCTTTCCCAAACACAGCTTTTCTTTCTTTCTTTTTTTGTTTTTTATATGACCAGGCTTCAAATTTCTGAAATCCTTTTATGCTATTTCCATTTTAATTTGTTTTCTCACTGTGGTCACTAGCCTCTCCCAGGAAGATCAGCGGTCCCACAGTGACATCCGTTTCTTCTGTTACGTGCCTGTGGTTCCAGTTCTGTGAAGTGGACCTGAGTCCCTCGCTCACCACAGGGAGCTGCCTCCTGGAATGGCCTGAACCACCATAGTCTCCCCTGTTACAGCACTTACAGATGTCGGCAGTGCCTTCTACTGGGGACCAGCTATTGAAAGACTTGTTAAGGAGCGGGCT